TGGCCCTACACAGTGCTTCTTTTACATCTTCATTTACTTCCATGCTACTTAGAAATAAGCACAGCTTTAACTTTAGTAAATGTGTTAGGTCCCTCCAGGTTGCAAAGAACAGACGTGCAGTCAGGTTATCTCAATTAATGTGAGTTTATTTGTGTTGATACATAAGAAAATAAGGAAGATAAGAAAGTAACCCAGTAACTACAAAGTCCAGCCTCATTGTTCAGGGATCTATCATTAATATTCCAGTAACCTAAGAGCAGAAACAGTGAATCAACAAAAACTCTACTTGTCTTAACTGCAGAAGTTAAGTAGTTAAGTAGTTGCCATTATTGTTCTAAGGCGACTTAGTTCCTCTCTCTGTTTTGGTTGTTCTCAGCACTAACTCATTTCTTTACTTTCTATGTCTTATATTCAGACTCCCTGAAAGGGGGATCTGGTTGGCTGGGACAGGTGCCACCCAGCCAGAATACCACTGCTGGGTATGTCTCCTTTCCTAGGCTACTCCCTAGCCTGTAAATGGGTTTCTTTGAGTCAGGTATGAACCTTGGTACAATTAACTGTGGCCAGCATGGAGAGTTCACATGACAGAAAACATGATTCTGTTCATGCAGGAGCTATGGGCGTGTTCTCTCCAGGTCTCCAGGAAAACTAGACCCACCTATGAAGCATGGATAACACAGCTTTATTGCTGGGGACAAAGCAACTTTTATTTCACAATGACTTTCTCATGAAGATTTTCAAAGTGCTCTATTGACACCATAACCTTCCTGAAACAACTAGGGTACTGCATTCTTCTATTACATTGTGTGTGTGTGTGTGTGTGTGTGTGTGTGTGTGTTGCCTTTAGTAACATGCACTTTCTAAAGAAGCAGACAATCTCCACTTTTAAGTAAAAGTGAAATTATGGATTAAGCTTTGACTCACATGGATGTTGTTGGAACATATTTTCTGGGTGGTGTTTTAACAAACTTCTTCCTCCATTCATATTGGAAAGTCACGTATTATTTCAATATTTTTAATCCTGGAAATTGAGGTCTACTCCCAAGACCTATTGTATAATTATGTGGGGGATACTCTAAAATTAGAAACCAGGTGTGGCCGCATTTGTGTCTTATAAGTTCAGAATCTCCAACCATTCCTCATAACTGTCCACCCATGGGAGACAGTAGAGTCCACAAGAGAATTCATAATTTTTCAACATGTCTGAAGCTAAAAGGAATGAGTTTGAAAGCCAGATATCTACTTTATAAAAGAAAAACTTTTCCGCTTACTAATTTTTCTCTCATATGAAATAAAAACAAATTGTAAATAATCTTCACCTTTACCACGATTCAGTTAGATTCCTTGCACAAGATTGTCTCTCATTAAACTGTTAGCCCAATTAAAAAAAAAGTCATAAATTGAAGGATTCAGAAAATGTTGATCAAATCAAATTATTATTAATGACGCGCTGATTCAGAAAGTTGGCTTTGTTAAGCCTTTGCTGACCTCTCAAATGACAGCTTTAAAAATGTATGCGTCTTCAGATTTCTTCTCTTTATAAAAAGGGTACCCATCTTATGCACATGCCATGCACGTTCTTTCAGTGATAAGACTTTTCCTCAAACACAATTCAGTTGAGCAAATCAACAAAATTGCGTTCTGAATGGGTCTTGTGAAAGACACTCAAACATGAGCAGGTCCTCAGCTTCTGATTGGCCCAATGGGAAGGGCACCTGTGCAATTGGAGGAGTTGTTTCGGATGGCTGTCAAGGTATCTTCTAAACCTGTGATTCAATATGGGTTTATTGAGCAGGTGGATACCACGTGCTTTTGATTATAGATTTAGGCCTGGAAAGAAGAGAATGTGGTGGGGACGTATAGGAGGCAGCTGAAATCATATCCACAAATGCCTTTTCTGTCACTCGGCCAGAATGTATAGCCAAGTCTCTACAATGGTTTTTTCACTAAAAAAACCCCCAATCATTTATGTACTCCAAACCAAGACATACTGGAAGCAAACTGATATATATATATAAAGACAGGAATATTGTTACTAAGATGCCTCTTTGGGCAAATATACAAAATGGTGGGAACATAGCCAGCTGCACTGATCTAATTCATCATTTGGAGTACAGTTTGGAAGTCATAAGAGGAGCAGTTTGTTTCTAAGATCAAGCTGAAGAGAAAAATACATGCCTCATCTTGCAGAATGGAAAAGAAAGCCATATAAAATAAACTTCTGAAATAACTTAGCCCTTGCTTATATGAAAGGTTTGAGAATTTTAATGATGCCTCCAAATTCAGCCCTTTATCACACCAATTTATTTAGGTATCTTAAGTTAGGAATATAGATATATCCAGGTACAAGTTTATCCTATTTACATAGAGAAACATTAAAAATTCAAGATATCCTTTGTGAAAGAATTAAAAGTTTAGTAGTTGAACATAGCAAAAGAAAATGCATAACAGCCAATTAAATCTCACAGTTCTTTTCATCAAATTGCCAAAAGGAGCATAAAAGTGATTAGTGACCTTTCATAGAATTCCACAAGTACAAGGCTGCTAATGGGTCAAAAATAAGAAAATTCAGTTTTTACAATTTCAAGAAACTTCTGAAAAATACCTAGCTGGTCACCATACAAAGCAGTTGTCTCATAATTCAACCAAAGATGGAAATTCTCTCCAATGGGAAAGGCAAGCTAAGAACTGGGGTTGACTTCAGGGCTATTGAAAATCTTCCACCCAGAAGGTAAAAATGATAAATTGTTATTTGGTTACCAACATAGAAAAGGAAAAGGAAAGATGCTAAATCACAGCAAATGCAAAAATGTCGAATATGGATTAATGTAGCCAACCTACCTTAGGTCAAATGAGTATTCCATTAATTTCTCCTTCAGAAAGGCTTATAGTACAGTGCGCCATTCACTGAGGATAAGTGCAGAAAACCAACAAATCAAATGTTGATTCACAATATCTAGGGCTGTTTATGAGGAACTGAGTTTGAATAAGCAACAACAAAATATCTTTCATTACAAAATGCCTGTTCTGTTGTGGGTGAGTGCAGTTTTTTTCCATTCTTTAAATGTTAATGATAATGGAATGGATTTTGGAAGAAGTGGTCTTACATATGATAAAAAGGCAGACTCTGGGATCAAATTCCTGAGGCAGACGGACCCTGGGTCTGATCTTATCAAGAAATTCTCATAATCTTTTAATTTTTCCCTCCTTGGAATTTAGTTTCATAAAAGTTTCTAAAAACAAACTGAAAACTCAGAATGAATCAGAGTCACTTGAGAATAGCCACCGGCTAGCGGGAAATGAGTTTCTGTCACTCCCAGGTTCAGTGAGGCACTTTTAACAAACCAGTAACTGCAGTAACAAAACAGATTTTTCAAAGGGTAAGATCAACCCAAAATGTGATCAGACCCATCTCACTAAGAACCAAATCAGAAGCGAGACAACCAAGAGCACACAGACAGCCCAAGTGGGAAGACTGGGGCCAGAGCTACACAGATGCAGTTTTTCCCCAGCCCTTGCAATTCTTTTACTGAATCTGCTTTGACTTTTTTTTTGTTTTTTTTTAGTTTTTTAAATTTTATTTTATGCTTTGACTTTTTAAAGACACTCGTTTTCATTCTGTGTCCCACGAGACTTTGCAAGTCCCTGAAGCATCTCTTTACATGGCCCTTTAAAGACAGTGAGGACATTTTCAGTGTGCCTCACTTTTACCATTTTCAGGTACCCCCAGTGTACAGTTTCCAGAGCATGGGTATAATCCAGAATATTCCACGTCCTCTCCAGTAGCTTCATAAGCACATTCAATTACTTGATATACTAGTGGACAGTGGCAGTGCAGTAGAAGCCAACAGTATTGATATTTGACAGTGTGTATCAATGGTTTGATTTGGGGGCGATCAAACCATTGTGTGGCTTGGGAGGAGAGCAGGTTGCATAAAAACTGTAGATGCTCATATGCAAGTTTTCAACTGGAAGGTCCATCAGAAGTTCCTATCGAATTCTACAGTAAGCAGAAGTATTCTCATATGGTGGGTCACTGTTTAACATTCATGCTTGAGAATAAGTAAGGCACTAGGTTAATGTTAGTTGCACAGAAACCTAAATTACAGTCTCAAATTATGTTTGCCCTCCTTCGCCCAACTCCCTGGGAAATAACTCTTGGGACGTTTGTGGGAGTGAAATGGAAGCCGGTAGTCTATTTAGCACAGATGGTCTAAAAGAGAGAAAGACCACTTCCAGAGGGGTCCACAAAGCATCCAAATGAGAAAGAAAGTTCTGTAAAATTAGATTTTCTTTAGGAGACATGGGCCCATTTAGGACAGTCTCTGCACGGGGGCTGCTTCCTGGCTGCCACAGAAGGCCCGCTTGCCTCCTGGGGTTGGTGGCCTGGCTGCCCCCGCCTGGACCACCTTGAAGAGGTGGGCTGCTGGGTGGGCAGGCAGGGCTCTGCTGCTGCTGGTGCATGGCAGAAAATCCCAGGGCTCTGTTCCTGGTGCCACCTGTTTGATGGGGCTCAGAGGGAAATGGCAATGGTGGTCATTTGGCAAAGGACAAAATTCTCTTCTTCTATCGCATGTGAAAGATAGTGACAGTGAAGAGACCCCATTACACCAAGCATATGCGTGTCCCATGGCTGTGACAAATACTCCAGGAGACAACTTAAGAACTGATAAGAAAGCAACTGCCTCTCATCCCTTTATATGTTCTTTCCAAACTCAGCCCTGGTTGCTTTTCTTTGCCCAGGATTGAACTTGGTGTGTCTGTCTCTATGCCTGCTCTTGGCCTGGTTTCTTTTGCCTTCTTCCTTTTTAAATCATCATCCAAACCACTTTCACTTTACTGAGATGACTGGCTAGATAACTCCCTACTGAAACAAGGATTGGGTATATGGTACATATGTAGAGTCTTATGGGCTGGCCATTATTTTATTAGTATTTTTTTTTAAGCTGAGCCATCCTGCCACCTGTTGGCAGCTCAACGGCTGCTCAGCTCGGGCCGGGCATTGAACCGCTGTTGCTCAGAGCTCAAACTCTTGAGCGAGCTCTTAACCAACTGAGACACTCGGCCGGCCCTATCGGCTGGCCATTATTGATGGGGAGTTTCATTAAGAATCCCCCAGTCATTCATAAAAACATGCTGCCCTTAAAATACAGCTCTCTTCCAGCTCTTCACTGCCTGTTAAATACCCAGTAAAGCAATACTTGGAAACAACAAGAAAGGAAGTTATGTGATGGCTGGATGACCAACAATAGCCATTGTACATCAAGCAAACCCACTGGATAATATTCATAGGTTCCTTCTTCACTCATTCTAGCATATTAGAAACCATTGAGATTGCTTTTCTTTGCTCTGAAAATACATGCACATACTGGTCCTAAAGATAATCCCTAGCACAATGGCTAGTTTTGTCTTGGTGTTCTTTATGCCCAAGTGACCCGACAAAACGATGACCATCCTGGTCTCTAGCAGGGTTTTGGCAATGCTGTGTTGCTCCCCATTTGCAACTGGAAGCTGTGGATTTGTTTCTCCGTGGAGGTTCTCTGGGAGAGCCTGGTATTGAGTCTATCAGGATACCACAAAATCATTTCAAGAAAAAGATTCTACATCACAATATTTTGCATTTATATAGGTTCTTTTGATTTCAAAATAAATTATAAATATTTCCTACCGTGACAACATCTTCCCGAGGTAGGTGAGTATTTACTGTCCCTACATTACCAATAGAAACCCAAGGCCAAGGAACGTAGGGACTTCCAGGCCAGAGAGTCTGGTGCATCAAGACTGGGCAGCCTGATGGCTCTGGGCTCCGAAGAGGCCGTGCTCTCTCCAGGGTAGCAACAGTCTCCGTTAATATAGGGTTATATATTGTATAGATAGAAAACAACAACACACAATGACATTATAGAACAATAATCCAATATTTTTGTTTCTTAGTAAAATATGTTAAGCACAGTATTTAAATTGCATTTCTCTGAAAAGCATTTGGTATATTAAATAGCAGAAGGTATATTAAATAGCTCTAGAAACGTTTGCTGGCATACTCTTAACAGCATAATGATTCTAAAGAAATTAAAATCCACTGACGCATAGAGATCTTTCCTTTATAATACCATGAACTAGACATAAAATGGGAAAAAACTACTCTATTCTCATAATGCAGACTTAATTGCTTGCTGGGTATTAGCAGGTGACTACATAATTTTTCTGAGCTTGAGAGAAAGGATATATATTGCTGGCTGTGGTTTTAAAATACCACCAACTTGGTAGGGGAAAATGTAGCTGAAAGGTGAAAATTAAAGACTGCTATTTCCATTTTGTATTCATTTCTGAGGAATTCATATACTTTCAAAAGGTATTATCACACTTGGAACTAGTGTTGAGGTGAATGTAGGGACACTACATCATAAGAACATTTTGTGAAAAGAAAAATGATACAAAATTAAAGGTACAGTATTAGAAGAAAATAAACAAGGAGGCAAAGAGAGTGTTTTTCCAGGGCTCTGAAGGCTGGCATGAGAATTTCACGCTTAGATGACTTTATAGGCCCTGGAGATGGTTTATAAGGATAAATACTTGGTTTGATCTCTTCTCTAAGGCGAGATGTCACTTTGCTCTCTCAGTCAGCGGTTCTCAGAATGGGGTTAAAGAGCTTACCTCATGCTAAGCTTCCTAAGACTGGACCAGGCGAGTCAGCAGAAAAAGTTCTAAAACTAGAAAGAAAGAGGCATCAAAGTCGTAAAATTTGTATGCAAACGTAAAAACTAACTTCCAAGCCAAAAATGACATTCTCTGTCAGAAGTTAACAAATACAAAAGTCTTAAATTTCGTGTACACGCCGCGAAGATATGGTTAGAACATGGCGTTCAGAGATGATTTTCTACAAGTGTGCTTTTTTTTCCCCTAAAAAAGACATATTAAATCGATTTTCTCTCCTCAAGTCCTTTATGTATAAATATGAAATACAAGCTGTCAGCACGTTCATTTGTGTTACACACTCGTGGGGTCCTTCCCACTCGCGTTGTTTGTGGCAGTTTTGTTGGAGGGGCGTTTGAGTTTGAACAGGCTGGAGCAGTTCGGCTGTTTAGTTGGCTGTAAGCTTCTGGCGTAGGGTGAGTACCAGTCCCTCTCGAATACATCTTTAAGTTGCTTAATGATGCTCGTGTTGTTCCTCACATCTGCTTGGTTGATAACAAGGCCTGTGCCCGCGTTCTGGGTAAAATCATTCCCTACCCAGTCAAAATTTCCTGCAAACAAACAAAGGAAATAACGGTGAGGACCCACTGGGGTATAGTCCCATATAATGAAATACAGAGCAGATTCTATTAAACAAAATAATAAACACCCGGGAATAATGACCAGGAGATTAAATGGTGTCAACAGCTCAGGAAAAAAAAAAATCCAAGAAGCCTTACATATGGCATATTAATAGTTGCATATGATTTTGTCATTTTCTTCAGCTTTGCTCAACTTGAAACTCAAAACAAGGAACCTGCTGTTCTTTTCCGTAAATGTTATTTCTTATTGACATTCACAAGACACACTACATAGAGCAACATTTCAAATATGTAGGAATCCACTTAAAAATTCTGTGAACAATTACTGCCTTCTTCAGAGACAACATCTAATCCGTAGGCACAAATGAGGGATTCTAATGCTCATGCTCAGGAGCTTTCACATCAAAGAAAAAGCTGCAGCCCGAGAAGGAGAGGCAGCTCCTATCTCAATACACAGACTGGAGCTCTGTTCCCTTCGTCTGCAGACCACACTCTCTGAAGGAAACGTACGTAGAAATACGCTTTGGGGTAGCGTGTGGAGGGCAAAAGATGAGGAGAGAGAAGTGACGAGATTTTGAATGCTTCTTCTGTGAAATTCAAGTTTTTCCTTCAATACCATGGGTGGAGCCAAAATCCTGCATCTTTACTGATTCTCAAAAGCTTTCATTAGGTTCTTCTCAGCAATTATAACTGCAGGCTGCTTTCACAAACCTGAAGAGGCCTATTCCTACACCAGCGATCACCGTCTCCCACCTTCCACTTCCAAACAGCTTGGCTAACCTCAAAGTCACGTACATGCCTCACTGTTTTTTCAGTTCGGATGCAGTTTCACTCAACTCTTTCTGAGACTACGTTTCAGCTTCCAGACTCCAAGCTGAGGCCCCAGATGCCAGGAAGACTGTGCTGCCACCCTCAGCAGCACCCTGGTGAGGGGTAATTGAACTCACTGGAAAGGTATATGGGCCTCAAGGAGCCTTCTATCAATCAACCTACCCCCCCCCTTGTCAGCACTTTAATAATTCAAACCATCTTCCAGACAAGCTTGCTAAGATCGACTCAGATATACTCTGGAGAATTAAAAATTAGAGAGATGATACCGTTTGGGGAGTCTTCTGTAAGTCTTGTGAATATTTAATGGAGCTATAATTCCATGCGAGGTGTAGTGTGGATTTTTCTTAATTCATCTTTCTCAGCAGGTGTCTGAGTGACAGCTTAGTGACAGAGAGTTCCAGAACATGCTGATGTTTAAATTGTCAATAAATGTTCCCTCTTGATGCCCTTTAGATATTTTTATACTAGAATTATGCTTCACGCTAGGGAATTAATGTTTTGCTAAAGTGCTATGTGTAAAATAAACTCAATTAAAAATGCATTAAAATAAAGAGCCTGGAAATAGACCCACATAAATATAATCAACTGATCTTGACAAACGAGCAAAAGCAATACAATGGAGCAAAGATAGTCTTTTCAATAAATGGTGCTGGGACAACAGGGAATCCACATGCAAAAATGAATCTAGACGCAGACCTTATACCCTTCACAAAAATTAACTCAAAGTGACCATAGACCTAAATGTAAAATGCAAAACTATAAAACTTCTAGGAAATAAAAGAAAAAGATCTAGATGACCTGGGGCTTGGTGACTTTTTAGCTACAACATCAAAGGCATGATCTATGAAGGAAATAATTGTTAAGCTGGACTCATTAAAATTAAAAAGTTTTGGGCCGGCTGAGTGGCTCAATTGGTTAAGAGTTGGTTAAGAGTGCGAGCACTGAGCAACAGGGCCGACAGTTCAATTCCCACATGGGCCAGTGACACTGCGCCCGAGCTGAGCTGTCGCTGAGCTGCCAACAGGTAGCAGGATGGCTCAGCTGGTGTAACAAGATTGCCTGTTCAATGGTGGGCTACGCCCACCCGCAACTAAGATTTAACTCGGCACCTTGAGCTGAGCTGCCACCCGGATGGCTCAGTGGATAGAACATGTGCTCTTAATAACAAGGCTGCTGGTTCGACTCCCGCATGGGATGGTGGCTACCCGCACCCGCAACTAAGATTGAACACAGCACTTTGAGCTTAGAGGCCACGAGCTGCTACAGGCAGCCAGATGTGACTGGCACTCTCCAAACAAAGATTGAAGAGCAACAACTTGGCTGGTCCCCTTCCCCAATTCCTCAACACTGTACCCCTCCCCAATTCCCCAATAAAATCTTTAAAAAACAATTTTTTAAAAAAATTTCTGCTCTGTGAAAGATACTGTCAAGAAAAGAAAAAGATAAGCCATACGTTGGAAGAACGTATTTGCAAAATAGTAAATAATAAAATGGCAATAACTATGGACCTAGAAGATATCATGCTAAGTGAAATAAGTCAGACTGAGAAAGACAAATACCATATGATCTCACTTAAATGTGGAATCTAAAGAACAAAATAAATGAACAAACAAAACAGAAATAAGCTCACAGATAGAGAGAACAAACTGATGGTTCCTAGATGGGAGGGGGTTGAAGGGCTGGGTGAGAAAGGTGAAGGGATTAAGAGGTACAAATTGGTAGTTATAAAATAGTCATGGGGATGTAAAGTACAATATGGGGAATATAATCAATAATATGGTAATAACTATGCATAATTTCAGATGAGTACAAGACTTATTAAGGGGATCACTTCATATAAATGTCTCACCACCACACTGTGCATCTGAAACTTATATAAAATAATATTGAATGTCAAGTGTAACTGAAAAAAATATTATAAAGATATATTAAAAAAAAGGGCAGAATATCTTCTCGAACTGAGCCAGGGGGTGTCACTCGCCATTGGCTGATGGCAGTGCCTTCTGAAGGGCTGCAGATGGGGAGGGCTCTGGGTAGGCTGGACTCCAGACCCAGCTCCTTTTCCCTTACCTCTGCAGGTTTAAGTCATTTCACGTCTTATGTCCCAATTCTCCTCATTTCTAACCTTCAGGTAATAAAAGCCGCCCTCCCTACTGGCAATGTTTCTGAGAGAATAAAATAAGATAAAGCACGTCACAAAGTTAAAAGGGCATAATGTTTTTTTTTTTTGTTTTTTTTTTTAGCTGAGCCATCCTGCCACCTGTTGGCAGCTCAGCTCAGGCAGGGCATTGAACCGCTGTTGCTCAGAGCTCAAACTCTTGAGCGAGCTCTTAACCAACTGAGCCACTCGGCCGGCCCAAAAGGGCATAATTTTTACTCACTCAATTTGGAAAACAAATACAGTTTCCATGTATCTTCATTCTATACATATGTTTTTCCTCTCTGCTCTAAGACGCCCCTTCCTGTGTACAATGTAATAACCATGCCACTGTTTTATGTGTGCACCATAGTTTTGTGGATCATCTCCACTCTGCCTGTGAGGGTACCAGTGAAGGGGTTACCCTGGACGCTCACACACAATGGGAAAGCAGATAGACTCGATGCATTAGTAATTCATTCCACCAGTACATAAGATCTTTGCATCTGAAGCATTACTACCTTAATAAAAACAGCTAACATGAATCCGGGATGGTCCATGTGCCAGGTGCTTTGCATATATTATCCCACTTGCGTTCACCCAGTGGGGAAACTGTGATTAGCCCCATTTTGCAGAAGAGAAAACTGAGGTTCAGGGAGCATAAATATATTATCTAAACTTAGACATTTAAAAAATGGCAGGCGTGGGATATTAGTGCCCAGGCAGTGTTTTGGCACCAGAGTCCGAGGATATCTGCCTCCCGATCACTCATGACAGGCCAGCTGTTGTACTGTGGGCGGGGAAGGAGACCCGTTCTCATTCCATTGTCAGTGCTCACCTCTGATGAGCCATTCACGCCTCCGCTATGAAATGAGGCACATGGACCAAATAATTTTGCAAAACATTTATGAAAAGCATCTTACATGGTCTCCTACTAGATGAACCAGCCATAGAGATGTTCGGTTAAAGAGTTCTTTGCCCTCCCCCTCCCGTTTCCTGATCTTCAGGGTCTCCCCCCGCCCATCAGCAGGGGCTCCCAAGGCTCTGCTTCCTGACCACGGGGTCCAGAGGGCGAGGCTGGATCACCACTCATCTGCGTGATCCCCTAAGGCAGCGGTTCGCAACCTTTCACAGGGGTCGCCTAAGACCATCGGAAAACACATATTTTCGATGGTCTTAGGAACTGAGACACCGCTCCTCTATTGGTCTCCAGGCCCACATGCAGATACGCCCACATACGAGTACCAGGCGACCCCTGTGAAAGGGTTGTTCTGCCCCCAAAGGGGTCGCGACCCACAGGTTGAGAACCGCTGCAAGAGGTCTCAAAGTCCTGACACCTACCAATATAAGCTGCACCATCTGTCACCATGTACTTGTTACGGTTTAATCTAGGAAAGGTGTGATTCTTCTGCTCTTTTGTAGTACAGGCATTCTCTCTTTCCAGATCAAAAAATTTCTGTAAGACAAAAGAAAGAAAGAAAGAAAGAAAGAGAGAGAGAGAGAGAGAGAGAGAGAGAGAGAGAGAGAGAGAGAGAGAGAGAAAGAAAGAAAGAAAGAAAAAGAAAGTGAATAGAGGACATTTTTGGTCTTGTTCAAGAGTACAAAAGGGCAGATTGTTTGAGATCTTGCTCCCCAGCATATGTTGTCAATTTTGACTCAAATAATCTCTTATAAAAATTAAGAAAAAAAAA